CCTCATCGCATGGCCAGGCCCTGCTTGCATTTCTGAAGACCATCTGCTTGTAGCACCCTGTTTGATTCCATCAGCCTCAAGATCAATGAAATTTGTGCCTGAGGGTGACAGTTTACTTCTGTAATTATAAAAAGCTGATATGTATCAAAACACTAAAGGAAGTAAAAAAAAAAAAATCACCACCCCCAGCCTTCACTCTTAGTCTGTTTGAAATAATTCCTTTTTATGCTTAGCAAGATAACAAATCTTTATACAGCCAACCATGTTTTGTTTTTTATTCTCTCACGACAGTGGAGCCGACTTGACGCATCTCCTCCGTAGGTTCTGTTTTCATGCGTTAATGAACTTTATTTGAAGGTTCTGTTGGCGGTTGGCTTCCTGCTGAAATCCACTTACTCTTTCTTTAATGCAGTGTTCTCCTCGCTCAGAGTCAGATCCTCAATCAAAAAACAGTTTTAATGAGATCTCTGGTGTCCCTGCTGCTCCCCCACGGGAAACTTCATCATTTTAATAATGGTTGTCACTTTAAGATGTGGGGTAAGATTGAAATCCACTCTTGAGAGTGTATAGAGACCTAATGAAAAATCACATCTCATGTTTGTTTAACAATAAAATTCAGAATGATAAGGTTTTTTGACAGACAGTGACAAATTCCTGACATCCTACACTGAATATTTAATGAAATATTATTATTTTAATAATAATATATTGCTCACTAGGGCCCAGGGCCATTTCTGGCATTTGTAAGTAGTAGTTCATTTATTCATCATAATACTTTGACTAGGAGCCACTGCTGTCTGCAGTTCACAGACAAGGAGACTGGTAAAAAATTTAGGTGACTATCACCGCATAGCTAGTAAGAGTCCAAGTTGGGACGCCAGCCCATGCATCTGGCTTCACTACCTTATTCTCTTCTGCTTTCCACATAAGTTACTTTGATTTGTTTTGATGTTGCGATGACAAAATACCGGAGGCAGAACAATTTACAAAGAGTTTATTTAGTTCACAGTTCTGAAAATTCAAGAGCATGGTGCCAGGATCTGCTTTAGGGAGGGCCTCTGGTGGAGTAGCAGGTAGCTGTGGAAGAGCATGGGGGGCAGAGGTAGACAGAAAGACAGCGAGAGAGACAGACTTTCTTTATAATAACTTATCATCATGGTATCGAATCCAGCCCTGCACAAATGCAAGAATTATAAGGAATCAGCACTGATTCCTTCTCTCTTAACTTCTCTTCCCGTTGCTGTGATGTAGTCCTCTGAGAAAAGTAATATAAGTGACAAAGGGTTAGCTTTGGCTCACAGCACAAGGGTAAAGCCCACCGTGACAGGGTAGTCAAGGTGGCAAGAGCTGGAAGCAGCCGGTCACATGACAGTCAGAAAGCAGGGAGGGGCTAATGAATGCGTGCTGATGCCCAGCTCATTTTCTCTGTTTTACACAGTGAGTTCCAGGACAGCCAGGGCTATCCAGAGAAACCCTAATTCAAACAACACCTGTGCATGGGTGTGTGTGTTTGTGTGTGTGATGTGTTCGGGCTCAGAATTCATCATGGTAAACATATTTCCATATTTCTGTTGATTTAGCTATAAAGCAAATTGTGTGGGAAGTCATGACGTGTGAATGGTTTCCTGGAGAAGTCATTGCCCTTTGTTCCTTTTGACCTTGAAAAGGCATCCCTCTGCCTCTGTTACTGGCTTTCTTCTCTAGACATCGAACATTTAGTAGGAGGTAAGTTAGAAGAGGGCTCCGTTATTACCTTTAAGACAGGTTTTAAACTAAAGCATTTCAGACAGTCTTTCATCAGTTTGGCCAAAGGTAAAAAACAAATGAAGACACGGGAGAAAAATAATCCCCTGTGATTCTTTTATTTTTACTTTATTGTGGTTCTGGGGATGGAACTCAGGGCTTGCCTTCGGTAGGCAGGCATTTCATCAGTGAGCTGTGTTCCAGCCCTAAAGATGACAGCCATTTTGTCACAATAACCAAAAGTGTGTGTGTTTGTTTGTTTGTTTGTTTGTTTTGAGTTAGGGATTCTCTGTGTAACAGCCCTGGCTGTCCTGGAACTCACTTTGTAACCAGACTGGCCTTGAGCGCACAGAGATCCACCTGCATCTGCTTCCCTAGTGCTGGGATTAAAGGCGTGTGGCACCACCATCTGGCCCCAAAGTGTATTTTACAAATAAAGAATGTGTTCTCTCTGCTTTAAAAAGGCTGTTGTCTATAGCCCTAGTCAGTGTAGGGGCCACTAGCCACTACTGAGTCTTCAAAGTCGGATACTCCAACTTGGGAAGTGGTAAAAGACTAAAATTTATCAGATTTTAAATACTTGTTATGAGAAACATCTTTAAAATATTCCATGAACACCTTTTGAATATCAGTTACCTGTTGAAATGATATTTTATATGCATTTTAAAAAATAAATTTTATATTAAAATTCATTTAATTAAAAAAAGTTTATCTTTATAAATGTGCAAATGTGATTGTGGGACATTTAAGACCATGTGTGTGACTGTATGTGTCTCTGGGCTCTGATTGTGGGATCTTTAAGACTGTGTGTGTGACTGTGTGTGTCTAGGGGCCCTGATCTGAGGCACCAACATTTCACATGTGAATTACTGCTCGAGAGGTTTTTGTCGAGAGCTTTAAAAGAGAAAACAGTTATTACAGTTAAAACAGTCATTTACCCAGAAGCCTCTCTGACCAAAAGGAGTCAGTCAGCTAACAATTATTAGACTAAGATAGGAAAGGGGCAGGGAGTTGAGAAAATAGGAAATACAAGTAAATTCAGGGACAAGAGGCCTATTTTAGTACAAAAGGCTGTCAAGTGACTGCCAGCTAAATGTTGGAGCCTCATGTATGACATTTCTTAAGCACTAGTATTTTTTCACAATTATATTCATTTATATTATATTCCCCGTCAGTGCTATGCCATTAAAGCTAAGGATAGCCCACCGTGTCTCTCTCAGTGCGTTCCCGTTTACTCATCACTGGGATTGTTATGTAATTATTATCAACATGATAATGCTTGCTTTGTGTGAATTCTACACAAAGGCCTCTCAAATGACAAGGAACACACACCAGAACGGAGGTGATCTCAGCTCTAGTGATGATATTTCGGCAGTATTACCATGGCAACTAGAATGGTCACATCTGTCCCACCTGCCAGGCAATTATCAGTATTGGGAGTTCGTTCACCTTCCCCGTTGTTGAAGTTGCATTATTACCGGTTATTTTCTGAGAGACCCTACAGTTCATCTGTGCATTCTGCTTTATTTCTACAGATCTTTGTCACTTGTGATTTTTCCCTCTGCTATGTTGTGTGAAAAATGGCTATAGCATTTGCCAGCGGAAGAAGGTAAAGGAGATGGTGATACTGAGCCTGAGAGCTTTCTGTACAGTAATCAGAGGGATGATAGGTACTGGGGGTTGGGCAGATGGGACAATGGGTAAGAGGCCTTGCTGTATGAGTGTGGGGACCTGAGTTCAAATCCTAAGCACCTGTGTAAAAAGCTGAGTGTGAACCGTGTATTCCTTTAACCCCAGTGCTTTGGGGGACAAACCAGAAGGGTTACTGGGGCTTTCTGGATTCCAGAATAGCTCCGAGTTCAGTGGGAAATCCTGTCTTAAAGTAATAAGAATAGGAAGGGACATGTGACATCCTCCTTCATCCTCTGAGCATGCGTGGGAAAGCAAAACATGTGTATAAAAACCACATGCATACTCACATAAATACACAAACACATATCAGGGAGGGAGAGGAAGGAAAGAGGGAGGGAGGGAGAGAGAGAGAACGCTCTTCAAGTTTTGTTTTTGATGGCTTTGGCTCGTTGAGAATGATATTAAAGTACAGACTATAGAGATGAGTGCTCGGTGTTTAACAGGGGCACCATGGGACTCGAGGGATGGGTGGGGATCCGAGTGGAGAGCAGAGTTCCCTGCTGGGTGTCAAGGACCCCAGCATCCCAGAGAGACATCCAGACAGTGAATTCTGAGGATGCTCTTGGGATCCACAGTCCAGATGTGTCTGCCTGTCTTCAGAAAGACGTGTGAGCGTGGACAGTGGGGCCAGAGGCCCTTCTCTGACCCACCCACCCCAAATCTGGTATACTCTGAGATCTGTAGGCAACCCCAAGGAAGTAGAGCAACTGACTGAGGAGTGAGATCAAATTTGTCACCAGCTGAATGCTTGTGTGTCCGGAGTAGAATATAACGATATCAAGTAAGTTTTAGTCTTTTCCTTAATGACTTCATGGATGGTACCAGCCTTGGTGGTGCTTGACCAGGCTGTGACTTATTCGTAGTAAAAGTGGACTAAAATTGTTCACAGAAGACAATCTAGATGCGACTTCTACATTCATCTTGTCTAGATTATTCCATTTTAGATGAGGAAATTAAAATTTAAGGCCAAACGCCAGTATATTGTCAATCTTCCCCAGTCCCCTGCCCCATGTACTTTCCTTTCTATGTTGATACATGGTTGGGAAGGGTCTAAGACATAGTTAAATGGTAAAGCATTTTCCTAGTGTGCACAAAGCCCAGGGGTTTGCATTCCAGCACTACACCAAAAATTTAAAAAGTAAAAAAATTATCATTTCATACTGGCCATGAACAGCCCTGTGAGTATAAGACATCATAATTTTAAAGTGAAGGTAATACAAACTGTACAAAAATCAGGCCATGAGAGTCGGGAAAATGACTTTATCTCATCGGTTTTTCAGTTATTTCTCTGTGTGGGAATTGGGAGAAAATAACCCAAGCTATTCTTAAAGTGGAAGACATTACAGTTTCTGAGAGTCAAATGCCTTACCCAAGACATTTTGAATATGGATATATGTACGTGTGTGTTAGATGTACAGGTACAAGTCTACCAGTTATCAAACACTGGGTTTAAATTGCTTTTCAGACGGGGGGGGGGGGTGGGGGAGAGAGAGAGAGAGAGAGAGAGAGAGAGAGAGAGAGAGAGAGAGGTTTAGTAAATAACTAAGTCACTTTCCTGTGGACTCTCCACTTCTAGTCTAACATTCCGGATTACCTACTCTGCTCTAACCTGTGTCTTGGTCCTATTTTCTCTCCCTTCCTCTTTGCAGGCACAAGATGAACTAGAATTTGGCTTCTTGTTTCTCTCAGGACCTCTGTGTGAGAGAACAGAGAAGAACAGAAGAGCTCTTGCAGGGGAGTCCTGTGGTAGCCCTTGAGCAGCTCGGTGGCCAGAAGACCTACCTAACCTGCCAGCTCTGCACTCGTCCCCATGGCAGTGAGCTCACACCAACTCTCAATGCCCACATGGCAGAAGCCCACCCTGAAGGTGCCACCTCACTGATAGATGTCCCTGGAGGTCAGCCGTCTGTTCAGATGTTCCGATAGACTTCTCTCTGCCAGCAGGGCCCGTGGCGGATGAGGGCGAGCAGCAGTATCACTAGGATACCAGACACCAGGCAAAAGGTAATGGCAAGGATGACCCTCAGGACTGCAAAGACAAATACACCGATGGGAAATTAATATGTTAAGAACAGGCGGAGATCACAACAACACCCCCCTCAATGAATGCCCTAAAAAGCAGATGAAAACCGCATATCATTGTTGACTTTTTGCCTTAATTTAAAACTTAAACAGGTATTTTATTTTGTGTCAGCAATATAGTCTTCACAAAACTTTGCTTTTGTCCTTCTGCTTTTTTGCTGTGTGAGTCAGGGTCTCACAGAGCCCAGAGGGACCTTGTCCTTGCTATGTCGCCAAGGGTGAGCTAGCTACCTTGCACTCTTGATCCTCCTGCCTCAACCTCCCAAGTACTGGGATTACAAGTGTGTGCCATCATGTCTAGCTTTCCTGCCTCGATGGTAAATTCTAGAGGCATGTCTGAAGCAGCCTTGGATTCAGTAGAGAGTGTTGGATAGAACATAGAACTCAAGTCAGGAGGGGACTTAAGTTCTAGTTTCAGCATGACCTTTGACATTTGACCTCAGCTCTCCACTGCAGAGGGAAGGTAACTGAATGAAGTGTCTAAGGTTTTCTCATAGTGTAACTTCTCTCCTTCCTCCCTCTTTTCCTTTCTCCTCTCCTCCTTCTTCCCTTCCTTCCCCCTCCCTCCCATGGACTGGGGTAGGGGGTGGTGGGGGGAGTGACAGCATACTGGCTTTTGGCCTAAATTTTGATTTCCTAATCTAAAATGGAAGAATCTAGACAAGATAAATGTAGAAGTACATCTAGACTATTTTCTGTGAACATTTTTCGTCCACTTTTACTATGTATAAGTCATGGCTCAACCAATCACCTTTAAGGCTGGCGCCATCCATGAAGGCACCATGCATTTGCCTGGTATCTGGTATCCTAGTGATATGGAAGACCACAGTGATACGGTCTTCTCATTATGCTAATTCTCTCCTTCATCTCTCTTTTCCTTTCTTCTCTCCTCCTTCTTTCCTTCCTCCCCCCAACCCCATGGACTGGGCTCAAACTTCCAATTCTATTGCCTCAGATTCCTCAGTGAATCTCATGCATTTTTCTATGGTTAAATGATCAACTGAATCTGCTCAGAAGCTCAGTGGAAAATCTGAATAACTCACTTGGAGCAATTGACTAAAATAAGTGGAACCATTCCTTTTTTTTTTTTTTTTTTTTTTTTTAGTTTTTTCGAGACAGGGTTTCTCTGTAGCTTTGGAGCCTGTCCCGTCACTAGCTCTTGTAGACCAGGCTGGCCTCGAACTCACAGAGATCCGCCTGCCTCTGCCTCCGGAGTGCTGGGATTAAAGGCATGCGCCACCACCGCCCGGCCCATTCCTTTTTTTAAAACTGATTTTTCAGCCGGCCGCACACGGAGGAGCCCAAGGAGCAGCTCTGTTGCGACAGAGGCCGAGCGGCGAGGCCCCACTCCTGAAAGAACAGTAACTACCCCTGTGCCTCATCACCATGCCCTCCGACCTGGCCAAGAAGAAGGCAGCCAAAAAGAAGGAAGCTGCCAAAGCTCGACAGCGGCCCAAAAAGGGACATGAAGAAAATGGAGACGCTGTCACAGAACCTCAGGTGACAGAGGAGAAAAATGAGGAGAACAATGGCAGAGAGGCCACAGAAGTGGATTTGCTGACCAAGGAGCTAGAGGACTTTGAGGTGAAGAAAGCTACTGCTCGCGCTGTCCCTGGCGTCCTGGCCTCTCACCCCAACAGTACTGATGTCCACATCATCAACCTCTCTCTCACCTTTCATGGTCAAGAGCTGCTCAGTGACACCAAGCGAGAACTAAACTCAGGCCACCGTTACGGCCTCATTGGCTTAAATGGAATTGGAAAGTCCATGCTGCTCTCTGCTATTGGGAAGCGTGAAGTGCCCATCCCTGAGCACATAGACATCTACCATCTGACTCGCGAGATGCCTCCTAGCGAGAAAACACCCTTGCAGTATGTGATGGAGGTGGACACAGAGCGGGCCATGCTGGAGAGGGAGGCTGAGCGCTTAGCTCACGAGGATGCGGAGTGTGAGAAGCTCATGGAGCTCTATGAGCGGCTGGAAGAGCTGGATGCCAACAAAGCTGAGATGAGGGCCTCAAGGATCTTACATGGATTGGGTTTCACACCTGCCATGCAGCGCAAGAAGCTGAAAGACTTCAGTGGTGGCTGGCGAATGCGAGTTGCTCTCGCCAGAGCCCTCTTTATTCGGCTCTTCATGCTGCTTCTGGATGAGCCTACCAACCACCTGGACCTGGATGCTTGTGTGTGGCTGGAAGAGGAACTTAAGACTTCCAAGCGCATCCTGGTCCTCGTGTCCCATTCCCAGGACTTTCTGAATGGGGTCTGTACCAATATCATCCACATGCACAACAAGAAACTGAAGTATTACACAGTGAGTGGGCCTTGGCTCCTGCACCTACTTCTTCTTTGAATTTGTTATTAAATACCAAAACAGCCAAAAAAAACCCCATAAAACTGACTTTTCAAAAAAGCATATTTTATGGAGAAACTGAGCATAGTTTTATTTGGGGGACATTTATTGCATAATCACAGAGTAGTGTGAATCTGTAATTATTGAGAAAGATCTCTTGATAGATGATGGTGAGCAGCCGTGAGGAGATACACAAGGTCATATTTCAGGTGAGAAACTAATACATTAGAAAGTTGCTCTCCCCGGCACACATTGTCACCGAAGCTGACATACCATACCAGCTTGCTCCATCTCTCAGTGCACACCTCTGTTGTTGGTGCTTAAGACAGGATTTCTCTTTGTAGCCCTGGGTGTCCTAGAACTTGCTCTGTGGATCAGGCTGGCCTTGACCTCAGAGTTCTGCCTGCTTCTGCCTCTGGAGTTCTGGGAATAAAGGCAGCTGCTACCATGCCCAGCCACACATCTTTTAATTGTATAAACATGGGTGACTGAGGCAATGGGAAGCAAACATTGCTGGTCCTGATGTCTCATCTAAGGAACAGTGGTGCTCCAAGAGCACATACGAAAATCACTGATTTAGCCTAACCTTGTTGCAGAGGGAGGAAATGAAGAAGTAGATCATTTGATAAAGGCTCAGCAGGTAATTTTATTGTCCTAGAAACAGAGGATCTTATCAGTCGCACGATTTCAAATCCATCTGTTCACTAATGACTTCCACCTCAGGCTTGATGCATAAGCAATGTGTACTTGGTATGTAGCAGTCTCCCTTATCTATGGCTTCACGTTCTGTGGTGTCAATTACCCATGGCAGTCAACCACTGTGTGAATATATTAAGTGGAAAATTCCAGAAGTAAACAACTCCTGAGTTTTAAATGCTGCACCTCTCTGGGAAGCATGATGGTATCTCACACTGTCCCACTCCGTCCCACCTGGGATATGATGGAAGTGATGACTTTGTCTGGCAAGACTATGCTGTATATCCTGCCTGCCACCAATCACACCATAGCACCTTGGTTACCAGGCGGTTGTCATGGATCTCAGTGCCTGTGTTCATGTAACCCCAATTTTCTCAATAATGGTTAAAGAGACAAGAGTAGTAATACTGGAAACTGGATTCTTGAAGAGAAGCTGTAATGTATTTTCCTTGAGTGAAGGGTGAAGATATACAGCAGAGAGAGAGAGAGAGTACATTTATATGCCCTCCATTGTAGTACATTTAAATAATTGTTCTATCTTTGTTTTGGTTTTGAGACCAGATCTCATGCAGTCCAGGTAGCTAGAAACTGGCTGTATAGCCAAGGAACACCTTGAACTTCTGATCCTCTTGTCTCCACCTTCTAAGTACTGAGATTATAGGAGTACACTATCACACTGGGTTTATGCGGTCCTGGGGACTGAAGCCCAAGCCTCCTCCCTACAGATAGATTTTTCTCATAGCCACCCTTTCCTTGGATGATGAAAACTCCCTTGGCTTAGGGGGAAAATGAGTCTTCTGTGATTCCTTTATTTTCTAAATAGCCTACACCTGATCCGTCAGGAAAACCCTGTTCTATTGGGAAAAAAAATCTAGAAGTCAATGGTTCTCCCTATCTCTGCAACCACCCTGGTTCCGCTAGCCCAATTTACCAGGACCACTGTAATGCCCTTTTGGTCTATCCCCAGCTTCTTGTTTCTCAATCTGTTTTAAGCACAGCAGCCAAATGCTTACAAGTCAAATCTTGTCCTTCTCCTTCTTCAGGGGAAGTCTACTGTGGCTACGTCCATCAGAGCAGAAGCTGAAGTCCTGATAACGACTTTCCTCCTGTCACACCGGCCTTCGAGCTTTTCTTCAAACACCCCTTAGCATCCCTGCTTGGTGCTATCGCTTCAGCTGATAGCATTGCTGGAATACTCTTCCAGCCTGATGGGACACGCCTTTACGGTCTTTGCTCAAGTCTTATCTTTTCAATGAAGTCTTCACATTTCAAAGTCCCATTCATGTACCATCCTCCACTCCCTTCTGCTAACAGACACTTGTGATCTGAATCTTTCAGAATACTCATTATATTTATCATTTGTCTCTCGTTTCTTCTAATTGACTATCCATTTCAGGAACTTTGTATTTATGGATCAGTACCTGGCCCATAGGTGTTAATGAATATTAATCATAAAATTAGCGACCTAAAGACTGAGGGTGTGGCTCAGTTGGTAGAGTGCTTGCCTAGCATGAGCAAAGGCCTGGGTTTGAGTCCCAGTACGGCATAAATTGGATGATGGTAGAGATGCACCTACAATCCCATACCTCAGGAGGCAGGGCCAGGAGAGTCAGAAGCTCGAGGATATTCTTCTGTCACATAGGGAATTTGAGGCCAGCCTGAGATATGTGAAACCATGTTCCAAACACAAAACAACCCCCCCTGAAAAATACACCAAAGATGTTGACTTATAAACTGCCAGGTTTTAGTTCAGTGCTTTTCTCATGACCAGGATGCTGCTTAGTGCCATGAAAAATCTAATTTTAGGAAAGTTAGAGCCTAACAGCTGGTCAGTTAGAGCTGTAGATGGAGCTACAATAAAGCTAGAGAGAACGGAACAGAATTGAAGAGGGAAAGAAG